GGTTTTGCATTTATTGATTGCCATCAAGTTTCCTCTTAGCAACTGAGCAAGTGGATCCTTCCCAGGGGGATCTCCCTGTGTGCCATTGATGTTTGGGGGGGGGGGATCCGGGATCCAGCCCAGGACTTGCTTTTAGGAAAAAACCCACATTAGCACAGTAGGAAGACTTGTCCTTGTGAGTTGGCCCAGGATCCCCATGGGAGAAGGCAGCCTGGAAGTTCTCTTAATAAACACCGCTCCACAGCCTCTTGGAGACTCACAACCTCTGGCCGTGATTCCACAAAACATTGTTTTATTTCACCCCAAAAAAACAAACAGTGGTTAGTTAATGATTACTTCCCCCAGGTAAGGCTCCAAGGTCAGAGTCTTAGGAGATGCTTTACTTAAGGAACTCATGGCATGTTTCTTCCCAAGCACTTGTACAGGCTCCACCGTTCTCCTGTTTTGAGCAGGGGGCTGGACTAGAAGACCTCCGAGGTCCCCTCCAACTCTCTCATTCTGTGAAGAGCGCTGAAAGAGGGAAGAAGGGAGGCAGATAATATATCTGAATTTGCTTTGTTTTCTCCCTTCCTTTCTGCCTGCAGGATTCTCCTCCTGCCCTCCTGAGAGCTTCCAGTGCCAAGAGGGGGGCCAGGTGCCAATGTGCCTCCACCAAGAGAGGCACCCCGGATGCCAAGACCACACAAACAGCTGCGCAAGCGTCTGCAGGAATCACACTTGTCGTTGCGGCCACAACACCGGGCCCTGCCTGCCCTTTGAGCAGTTTTGTGACCAGCGCCAGGATTGCCCCGATGGCTCGGACGAGGCCGTGTCCCTTTGCTCATCCCGGGGGGCCCCGTCCGAGGACGATGGCTGCGAAAGCGACGAGTTCCGATGCCGCCCAGGGGCCGAGTGCTTCCCGCTGTCTTTCAAGTGCGACGGCCACCCGGACTGTGAAGACGGAGCCGATGAAGAGAGCTGCGGCACGGATTCGCCCGAGACTCCAAGGACCACGCAGATAACCCCAAAAGGTGGGCTGAACTGTGGTCCGATTTTGGGGTGCCAAACGGTGCTTCTGCTGGCTGGTCTTTCTTTGAATTGCAAGTTCGTTTTGTAGGCAGTCCAGGAAGATCTACCTTTTGTGACACCTGCTTGCTAAAGCTGCACTTGGCTTGTTGTTAGTTATATCCTGTATTTCGCTTGTGATTGTCTGCTGTTTATAACTCTCAATCCACCTGGGCAAAGAAATCTCTCAATTAGAAATATACTTTGTACAACTGGCTGGGAACAAGAGGGGCTCAGGTGTAGCTCCTGGCAATATTTGCAACTCTTATTTTTTTTATTCTGCATTCTGCATTACTTTTAACCGGAAGGAAATTCGCAGGATGGGACTCTGTTGTTTTCCCTGCTGTTTCCTGCATACATTTCCACCCTGGAGAGATTTAAGGAAGTTTCGAAGGTCCCGTGAGAATCCCCACCACCCCCTGCGGGTGCTTTTCCCCCTTTTCAACTTAAGAGCCGCGCAGAGTTGTGTCCTTGGCACATGGAAGGGCACGATGCCGCCTCCAGCATTTCCTGGAGGAAGCTGGACAAGGATCCAGAACTGTCAAACAGGTCACACCAAGGTAGATTTAGAATTACTCTGAGATTTCTAGGCATTGTGGGGGGGGTTTGCAGAGGTTACCAAATCCCTTTTTTTTTTTTTAAAGAGTTAACAGCACAGAAAATGATGCGTGCCCACTCTTTCTCCGGTTATATTGCTGAAATAAAGAGAAAAAAAACCAGAGCATTTGGGCATGTGGGTTCTGTTCATTCTTGTCTTCCGTGCTGCTGATTTAGGATCAATTCTTCCATTCTGTAAATCTGTTACCTTTTGCATCGGGTTGATTTTGAGAATGCTAGGGGGGGGGGGGGAATAATTAAATTTCATCGCTCAGACCGAAAGCTTGCTGTGTTTTGCTGTGGGGGGGGTGTGTGTCCTGAATTTTCAGCAGTTCTGCCTGGGACAGAGTCACCCCAGGGATCCTCTGAGCCCCAGAGGCGTCAATCAACTCAGCCCACTCCCCTTATGTTCTGAGCCTGGCTCTCCCCCCACCCTCCCCCTTTCTTTGGGGTGACTTCTGTTGTCTTCTGCTGCTTCTAATTAATTGGGAAGTTTAATCCAGTATCTCTCTAATCTTAAATGCCTTTAACTCCTAATCCACGCCTGTCATCTCTTAAAGTCGCTGTGGGTGTAAATTGGACTTGACAGCATTCCCTTTCCCAATACCTTTCATTTCTTGGTCTCACTCCCTACCCCGCCCCTTGCCGTGCCAAACGCCGCTTGCCCCACATATGTGCAGACGGGCAAGCATGTTCTGTTTCTCACATGTCCGCTTCAGGGCGTCTTTAAACGTGCCCTGCTCACAGCCTTCCCAAATGCCACCTTTACCCTAAAACATACCAGAATGTTTTCAGGACACCCCAAGACGTTGACAAAATCATTTCGTTAGGAGATGGGCAGCCGATGAATTTAAGAAACAAGAGAAGTCTGGCAGCATCTCTTCTGACTCCTTTTTTTTCAATTTATTTAAAAAGGAACTGCAGCTCCAGGAAGTTCTGCCTTTTCATAAACGTTGGAAAATTAAACTAAATCCTAATTAAATTAAACTAAACGCTATTAAATCCCTTGAGGTTTTCCCCACCCTGGATTTAATCCAGCTCTCTGCCTTCCCTTGAGATGCTTAAAATACACGGGCTGCCTCCCCTCAGGCGGGGGTCTCTTGGCTAAAACGTTCTGATGAATCAGAACTAATATTTAAGGCAGGGGGTATCCGATCTTGGCCACTTTTAAGACCAGTGGAGACTGAAACTCCCAGCAGGGCTGGCTGGGGAATTCTGGGAGTTGCAGTGCACAGGTCTTAAAGCGGCCAAGGTTGGACACCCCTAATCTAAAGGTTGCATCTCCAGATCTGGGTAACCCCACAAGTAGCCAGTCCTCATAACCCACCCGTGGGACACTCCGGGACCTTCCGAGGGAGGGCAGCTGCTTGTCCTGTCTGCCTGAGACAAAGAATCCAGGGGGAAGGGGCTTCCCACGGAGAATCTGACTTATTTATCGCCTCCCCAAGTTGCGTAATCATTCCGGTTTGGGCAAACTGTCCCAGGCTGTTCCGACTCCCACAAACATTCCCATAAATAAACTCTTTTCAACAACCTTGAGTTCCTCCCAGGATGTCTGTTTTCCCAGATACCTCAATGAAGCAAAGCGTGGGGGGTTTTTTTGTGTGTGTTTTTGCATCCTGATGGTCTGGTTTGTTTCGTTTCCTGCGTTATGTTTTCCGCCGGGACTCTGCCCTCTGCAAAAGGCTTTCTGAGTTTGATCATGTCTTCATTTCTCAGTGTTTCAACCCCTCCGTACTGCCCCGTCCTTCTCTCCAAATTGCTCTGCAAAGCTGTTTGTGTCTCTTTCTTTCAAAGAGCTCATTATTTCTTCAGAAAAATTGAGGTACCCACTGCTTCACTGTTTGGGCCAGTTAAAGGCTGTAGGAAGAAAAGTTTTATAGAGATGATAGATAGATAGATAGATAGATAGATAGATAGATAGATAGATAGATAGATAGATAGATAGATAGATAGATAGATAGATAGATAGATAGATANAAAGTTGCCAAGTTTGAGAACCACTGGACTAGACCGAACCGCCTCTTTTTAATCCGGGTTTACCGCTTGGGGAAGGTGTCCACGCGGCCTCTGACTCTCCCGTTTCTGACCCACAGCTCGGACCCTTCCGTCACCAGGACGGAGAAGCTTCCTGTGACCCCCGGCACGCCCCCTCGGAAGTGGGAACTGTCCAAGGATGAGCCCTATTTGTGAGATCGCCCGCCAGGCTCCCAAGGCAGGGTTGCTGAAGAGCGGCCGGTCTGGTCTCCGGACTTTCCAGGAGGACATTTTCCTCTCCCCCCCTTCCCCCCCCCCGGGGGGCTCATTCAATAAACACCACCCATAAGGCGACGCTGCCGTTGTACGTGGTTTTACGGGGCTTGTTGGGCTGGGAAAATGGAATTGGAGGAAGAGATGCTGGGATTGTTAACTCGGAATAAATGAAGGCAGGAGATTTTGGCTAAGAGTGGATTTATTTACTAAATTCATACCCCACCCCACCTCGCCTGACTCCCCATCCCCACGAATGCAAGCACAAAACAGAATGGAAACAGGTAACCGGGAGTCCTTGTCTTACGACCAGAATTGGCCCAGGATCTATCTCGCTCAGTGAGATATTTGCCAAGGGAGCTTTCCCCCCATTTTACAACCTTGCTTGCCACCGTTGTTAAGTGAATCAGTGTAGTTGTTGAGTTAGTAACGCGTTAAGTGAATCTGGCTTCCCCGTCAACTGTCAGAAGGTCGCAAAAGGGGATCGCGTGACCCCCGGGACACTACGACGGTCATAGCCAGTCGCCAAGCCTCTGAATTTTGATCATGTGACCTCAGGGATGCTGCCATGGCTGTGAAAAACAGCTATCGGTCACTTTTCACTGCCGCTGTAACTTTGAATCGTCACTAAATGAACTGTTGTAAATTGAGGACTACCTGGACAACTTTCAAGAGAGAGAGAGAGAGAGATACAAGGTAGGTAGGTAGGTAGGTAGATAATAGAGAAACAAAGAAACAAAGATAGATGATAGATAGATAGATAGATAGATAGATAGATAGATAGATAGATAGATAGATAGATAGATAGATAGATA